CCAGCCTGTCCAGGTCCCTCTTTATAGACACTCATATTTACAGTGACACTCTATGTTGTTACTTGGGTAGCAGAAGGGAACATCTGTGTCCTTCCTTAACTGCTGCTGGTCATTGCAGTGTAGGTCAGTAGTGAACGCTGTGTCACCAGGCTAAAATACAAAATTTAAATTCTCTGCAAAGTGTGCAGCAATGAAGAACTGCAAGCTGTGCAGAATTTAAAATTCAATTTTTAACACTCCTTGCCTTTTTTTTTTGTCTATTGTAGGATGTTAACTGTACTCCACCAAGCTCAGTTTTACATTTACTAGTATGTTCTTCAGTTTTACGCATTTGGACTTTGTTAGCATAAACTGAAGTTAAGCATGATCCTGAATAAGTGTGACCTGTTGAATTTGAAAAGCTGTTTTCATCAAGCCTGTATGCATTCTGCGGTTTTAAGTCTTATAGAGAACAAACCTTGCATTCTGTTGGGCTATGTATGTTTAAAGCTGTATTTAATAGTCATCTTTTGGGCTTGATTCAGAGTTCACTGAAGTCTAATGGGTTTTGGATCAGGTCCTCTGTGCACATTTCTTACTTGCTGGTGTTTCTGTTATAAATATTTCCATTTCCATGGTATCAAAAGCAAGTGATATGTTGGAGACAACTATATGAAATCAAATTCATGTCCTTCAGCTGATTTGTAAATGAATGTAGATTAATGCCATTGTTCTTTTTTGTTTAAAGCTGAAAATCGAAAAATCTTAAATGACGAAGAGGTTGAGAAGTGTCTTATAAACCTTTTGGAAATTGATAATGATGGAGTTAAAATTGCTGCTTCCCAAGCAATTTCTGCCATGTGTGAGAATTTAGCTAGCAAACGTGCATTTGGACTGCAGGGTAAGTAAGGTGGGAAGGGACGAACTGAGAATCTGTGCTTTTCATTTTATAAGGAGCATATTACAATTTTGCAGACTGCCATGGTTTATTTAAAGGTTCATGTATGCAATTATTTCTTTCTAAGGGATTCCCCAGCTTGTACAGTTGCTAAGCAGTGACAGTGAAGAGGTAAAAGAAGCTGCAGTGACAGTATTAGCTAATTTGACAGCAGCCAGTCCTAGTAATGCAAGGTGAGTCTGCAATAATTAAATTAGTATTTAAAACACTAATCTGAACACGTGATCATATTTTGATTTTTAAAGAATGCCTCATCTTGTCCTTATCCTACAAGGCAGGTCTGATTTTGACTGTAAGGCACTTTTTGGTGCTTATGAGTCATCTGGAATAGGTTGGTTCTCATCAGTGTTACAAGAGTTACACTATCTCTACTAACGTGTGCTTTATCAAGGAAAGATATGAAGCAGATGTAATGAAAGCAAAGATATAAATCATGTTTTGAAGAGAACATATGAGGAAAATATGCCTTGTAATCTAAGATGTTCGATGTGGGATATTTTTTGAAAATTCAGAATCAGTAAGGTATCCTTTAAAATGTGATGGTTCATGCAACTTTTTTGATTGATTAAAACCCAGTCTTTGGGGGAGATAGCACTCAGATATTCTGAATATTGGAATTGTCTTTCTTTTTTTATTGTTTCCCGAGTAACAGAGAATGCTCATAGTGCATTTTCTAAAAGAAAAGAAGTGTAATATCAGCATCCAAAACAACTAACAAAGGACGGTTAGCTGACTATAACTTCCAGAATAATTGTATCAACTAAATTCTACTGTCAGTTGAAGGGTTCTGTTATCCCAACTCTATTAAAAGTTCTGTTCAGGGAAAAGAAACAGAGCAGTCTGACGTATATGAGCAATCACATGTAACTAACAAACCATAAAATAAAATTCCTTAAAAGTTTCCTGGAATATACTTAAGGAAGTTGTAATCCATTCACAGGCATTCTTTGAAGTGAAAAAGTAAAATAACTCACCAAATAAATTATTTGTTTCAGTTTATTGATTCAGCTCTAATAGTCACCAGTATTCACTTAATGTTACCAGATGGAGGCATAATTTGACACAAGAGAATAGAACTCTGTTCTCAGATTCACATAGTAGATTTTTTTGTCTGATATTCTGCTCTCCTCATGTGCGTGACTCTTCAGTTGGTGTCAGTGGGAGTCATACACACATAAAAAGAGCACAGTACTGGAGTCTAGGGGTCAAACTTTCAGCTCTACTACAGCTGTTTTTCTTAGCCCAGCCCTTTGAGGTTTCACATTGTGAAAAGGGAATCTCTGGAGAGTTTTTGGTTGGTATAGCAGCTTATGCCAACTCATTCAGTTTCTTTTGCCAAGGAGATAGTCAGGACATTGTTTAGCTCAACTGCTAGAACAATTCTCTGAGACCTCAGGCAGGGAAATAGCTGTCTGTTGCTCTGCATTATAATGGAGTCTGTATTATTTTCTTGCTGGGCAGAGACAGGAAATTGTAAAGGTGGCTTGCATATACTTCTCTCTCTTTGCAATCCAGTTCCAAGTACAATATGGAAGCACCAGATAATCTAATCACAGGTCCTGTGTGAAAATCAGGAAGCAATAATTTACATTAAATATGTATATTGGATGAATGCCATGTGACTATATAATTGCTTCAAAGCTTCATTTCTAAATCAAAACCATTAATAAGTCATAGAAGAGTCTAAGTGTGACTAGGATCTATAAATGAATATATAGAGTTGAACCCTCAGCTGATACAAATTGGCATAGTTCCAGCTCACTGACTATCTGGCCCATGTTTATTTTATATTTATATAATAGGAAAAAAATTGTTTGAAGAAAATGCATTCCAGATTGTGTTACAATAATCATACTTCATTCTGGAATATTTTGTGTATGTATCTTGTAAACCACTGAAAATAACTGTATATATAATGAAGATGCTGATATACTTTTATAATAATGTGATTTTGCTGTGTAATTATGTTAGACAATATTCTTGTGACTAATGAGACCAGTGCCCTTTTTATTGGTTATATATTAGATTCTCCAAGAATATTAAATTATAAAGCTAGTAGTAGCAGGTAGACCTTATGTGGCAAGAACAAAATGGCTACAGTAAAGGAGAAGACTATTTACTATAATGTTTTCACTTTTTACCAGCCAGCCAAAAATTCAGTCTTGTTGAACTCATATACATGTGTTCTGCTATATTGCATTTCGTGAGCATTTTTGCGTGTATTATATTGATTGAAGGATGTGTACCTTGCCCTTTCATTTTGTATGGTATAGGTTACAGAAGGTAAAAGAGCACAAGACTCTGGTATTTTTGCTGGAGATTTGTTGTTCTTGTTAGGAATATTTGATCAAGAAGTGTTGTCTGCTTTTCATATAATGTGGAAAAAAATACAGGTTAAAACAAATTGTGTAACAAAGGCTCCCACAATAGCTAGCTCATAAGGATAAAGTCTTCCATTGATTAATAACACAAGAACAGCATAGGCAATGGGCAATACTACCCCCCACTAATGTATATTAACCTTGACCTTTAGGTGCTTCCCCACAGCAATGAAAGGCTAGTTCTATACCCCTACCCAATCAATCCTTTGTTTCTCAACTGAGACAGCTAATAAAGGTGTCAAATATGGTGGAGGTTTTGTAATTAGAACACCTGTTCACAATGAACGGGACAGAGACCAGCTTGTCATTTCACACAAGTCCCCAAGCAACCATGATTTGGCAAAAATAAATAAATTAATGAATTACTCTGGCCCTCGTAGTATTTTAACCAAAGATCTAGAGCAGAAGAGAACATGAGTCCCATACAAATCGTTTGAGTTTTCAGGTTTACTGGAAAATATTATCTCTACCAGAACACATTAAAATTACTGTAAATAGTGTCTAAAATATTTCAGCATTTAAGTTTTTGCTGCAGAGCTGATGTTGTATCATGCTTCAGCA